GGGCTGTTAAGATTCTCATTTACGATTCCCAGATTAAGCTGGTAACAAGAAAATTGTATATAGCGATAATCTTTCATCAAAAAAGCATTGTTAGGCTCAATAAAATCAGATCACGGAATCATTATGAGATACAATGCATATAATGGCATTTAAAAATAATGGTAAAATTAAAAGTAATAAGTGAACTCATAACATAGTTCCTATAGTAGTTAAATATAAATCCCTTCTCATTTGCATTCTGTTCACATGAATAAAACTTTTGACTGATTGAATTCTTAGGCGTAAAAAGTTACGTTTTCACAATCTTGCCTGTCTGTAATTACAAACTATCGGGGTTCAGTCCCATCAGGAGCATTGTAATGTCTTAACAAAGGGGAAGGTGTCTTCCAAACAGGTCAATAAACTACTTTAACTACAAAATATATTTAAAATTAGTGGCAAAAACGAGTATTTACTTTATGGCATAGATGGCGGCCCTGCGATTAAGGACCGAGAGTAAAGCTTAAGTCTGGACAATGTCCACTTATAGTTGCGAGGCAAATCTGTCCTTTGATTTATTAATAGTCAAATGTTATTTCCAAAAATTAAGCACTCAAACTCTATGATTTCCTTAGATTGTATAGGTAGAGAATAGCAATGAACAGAAAGTGAAGAAGAAAAGTTAGACGTCCTCAAGGGTCAGGCAGCATACTGGGCTTTTCCTAAAGTTTGCTGCCTCGAGCAGTCCGGTAACGGAGCCTATTTCAGAAAAAAACTCCCAAAAGAAGTGTCCGGCCATGCCACACAAAACCGTCCCACTTCTGCAATATAGCGCCAAAAGGCTCAGGATGAAGGGTCGTAAGAACATTACCACATCCCAGGCCAGAGTGGCAGAATTGCGAACTGACAGTAGGATCATATGCCTGCTACATGTGTCTTGTGTGCAGCAGAAGAGGGAAGGAAATTGACACTACGGTCCGAGGGATTAATTAATGCAGGAGAATAATCAATCAGAATAAGACGAATGGTTTACGTCTGTCCAAGCATGAAGACGGATCACGTTGGGCGGAATAATGAATTTGCTGGCGCATAGTAATGACCCAAGTGAGACTTGAAGGCTCATGATTCCATTTGCTGAGTGCGACACAAGCAGACTTAAGCAGCCGACAGAAAATAAAGGTCATCTAATGGCCGAATCTAAATCCACCCACACACGTACACTCATTAACACATATACTTATGTATATATATATATGTGTTATACATATTCAAATTCACATTCACATTTACGTACAAACACACATTCAGATTTACAGCAGGCACGCGCCCACCAAACAAATAGCGCAGACACACACAAGCACACGCACACATATGTGCATATACATATTCAACTGTAATTCCTCATAAGCATATACTAGAAGACAATATAGTGTAGTGCCAAATGGTTAAAAGATCAGACCGTCTCGCCGGAAAGACCCTAGGGGGTGTTAAGTATTGCCAAATGAGCATGCAACAGATTATCTATTTTTCTCGAACGGCAGAAATAAAATGAACGATTATGCAACCCAGAATATAGGGATGGCAAGAGTGAAAGAGGACAGCTCTTTAGGGGCAAACAAACAAGATGTGAGATGGCTCATTATGCTCCCCATATGACTGAGAAGGGTTTGGCATGAATTCACCAGGCCAGAAAGAGCTCGTCCCTCCAAATACCCAAACGATGAAGAGATGAAGTAACTTTGCAGCAAGCCAAAAGAAATCGGTTATTTCGCGGTGAGGAATAGCATACTTCATACTTCACTGTGCCAGCGGAGCCAGACTATTTTGAGATTATAGTAT